AAGATCTTCCCTTACAGAACCCATGCTGAGTCTGCCTCAATAGTTTTTGTTCATCAATGTGCCTACTAATTCTTTCCTTAATTACAGTTTCCACCAACTTACCCAGTATTGATGTCAGACTGACTGGCCTGTAATTTCCCGGATCTCCTCTGGAACCCTTTTTAAAGATGGGAGTGACATTAGCTACCTTCCAGTCCTCAGGAATGCAGGCAGATTTTAAGGAAAGATTACATATTTTTGTCAGGAGATCCACAAGTTCGCATCTGAGTTCTTTCAGCACTCTCGGATGGGCCTGGTGATTTATCAGTTTTTAAGTTGTCTATCAGTCGTAGGACCTCCTCTCTCATCACCTCAATCTGACTCAGGTCTTTCAACACCCCTCCCAAAATCAGTGGTTCTGGAGTGGGCAAGCACTTCTCATCTTCCACAGTGAAGACAGAGGCAAAAATGCATTCAGCTTCTCAGGCATTTCCCTATCATCCTTCAGTACTCCTTTTACCCCTTGGTCATCCTTAATCCTTATTAATTTATATGATGAACCTTGTATGGATTGTAACCACTGGTTCTGGGTGTGCAGGATGCATTGTGCATGTCCGAGATGTTAGTAAAGTTGTGTTTCTTCCCTGAGTGTAATTATGATCCTATCTACCGTCCTGTGTAGAAACTTTACAATCCAACTCAAAAGCTAAAAATGTTAAGATGCCTTATAATGAGCCAGCTCATTGGCCTGTTCTGACTGGAAGCATCTCTCCAGAATGACAAAAAAATAGTGTGATGCACATGCATTCTGGTTGCTCTATAAACCAGTTTCCAAGGCTGCTTTAAAGATGAACTCAAATTTCAGATCATCTGCTACCTAATCCTTTTAACTGGAGAAGCTGGTTACTTAACTTGGGACCTTCTTGATGCAAGGGAGATGCTCTGAGCCCCTCCTCTATAGGCTATATATCTTCTATGGAGATTCAGGACTGTCACCCACGGCTTATTCTCATAGTCTCTAGGCAATACTTTGAAACTTGAGAAACTAAATGGAAACATTCTTGAAACCAGACTTCATTGGGATAGTCTGCCTGACAACACTGTCCTACTTTTTGCATTATAGCAAACACACCTTTGGCTCTATAAAGATGGCTTTTCAGTTGGAAAAAAAGTCTTGTGTGAAGTCGCCCTTACTCCTTTGTTTAGGTCACAAACCCATATAAGGTAGTCTGTAGAACATATATAAGGGAATCTGTCATATTAGGCTACTCAAAAACTTATATATTGCTGAGTAAAATAGTAAGAATTCAAAATGTAATGCATTCAGTGATCTGAAAGCAGATTTGCTAGGGTTTCCCCTATTGATAAAGGTAGTGCTCATTTAGACAAAGTGACAGGAGGAATTCAGGAGGGTCCATGTTACGGGCAGGTAAAGTAAAGTTTTGCTTTTGTGCATCACTTGGTTCCTCTAAAAGTCACTCTGGAGTTAAACTCAGACCAATTGTTTATTGGTGCTTTCATAGGCAGCAGGTATTTCAACATACATAGCACATCTAATTATGCCAAAAAAGAGAGTGGTACACATGTACTGTGGTTGCTTTAAAAATGAGTTTCAAAGGCTGCTTTAAAGATGAACTAAAATCTTTATGGGTACTGATACAGGGAATGATCATCAATAATTGATACCCTGCACAGCTCCCATCCTCCTCCTATTAGCATTTCAAAGCATTTTTTCATCTTGCTGAAGCAAGCACTTATCTTCTTTTATTCATCCCTGAAATAAGTTGTCTAGCTCAGAGCATACATCATCGCCATCAGAAAACAGTGAGTGTCAAACAGAAAACTGATTTTTCTGTCCTCTGTTCTCTTAGCTTTGCTGTAGCTGATTCTTGGTTGCATAAACTACAGAAGGTTAAACAGTTTGGGGGGGGACTCAGTGTGGTCCTAAGGGCAGGGAGGAAGCAGTGAGGGGAATGGGGACACAAATGTTCCCAGAGACCCAGGTGGACTAAAAACAGGCCACAGCTTTATTGATTACAAGCTATGGAGCATTGATGTGGTGTGGGGCACAGATCAAGGAATCAGGCGACCCTCCTGTCAACCAATGGAACCACTCCCCAGCCTGTGTGCTGGGGGTAAACCTGAAATGGCAACTAAGTGGATCCACATAGGTGCAAGCCTCTGTGTGGTTCCCTTATCACCTGGAAGCCAGGTGATTGGCCTTGAGTTGGGCATGCTATTGCAGGGGTTGACTCAGAGCAGCTTACAAACTCATTTCCCTTCCCCTCCCCACAACAGACAGCCTGTGAGGTAGGTGGGGCTGAGAGAGCTCTTGACAGAAACTGCTCTTTTTCAAGAACTGCTCTTATCAGAACTATGGCTTGCCCAAGGTCATCCAGCCAGGTGCAAGTGGAGGAGTGGGGAATCAAACCCGGTTCTCCCAGATTAGAGTCCACACACTTAACCACTACACCCAACTGGGGGTCCCTACTCAGGAGAAGCAGGCACGCCAGCATAGCCTCCCCCCAATAAATCTGGCCTGATGCCTGAAACCACCACCAGAGCCAGACAGATACCACCCACCTCCCATAAAAGCTCCTACAGCTGCAACCAAGAAAGAACAATGTTGCAAATCCCGCCTAGCTAAGCATCTTGTCCCTAGCATGAGAGGTGTATGTCATCCACTCTGAACAGAGCCACCTGGCTGAAGGAAATATCTAGGTGGAGAATAATGGACTCACCTGCCAGTTCCACAAATTATCTTGTAGTCTTGCTCACTTTCCTTGTGTCACTGTCCACCTTCCCAGGAGAAGTAGACCCCCACCAGGCATGCTTCTTAAGCAGCTCCAACCAAAAAGAGCCACGTGCATGGCAGGTGTGAGAAAAGAACTGCAAATCTCCTTCCATGGCTGAGATAAGGTAAACCCCTTTTCAGCAGGTGGTTCTTAGCTAGCTGAATCACGATGACAGAATGCAAGACAACCTGACAAAGAGGGTCCCAGTATATTCTTCTTTGTCCCACTCAGGAAATCTAAAGCTGGACATTCAGTCCAAATGAGATTCCCCAGCTGGTTGTTGCCATTTTGGTGCCTGCCCAGTGTATGATGCTGTAGCTGACTTATCTAGATGGACTTGAGGCTCCCTGCAGAGACTAAAAGGAGGAAATGTTAGTGGAGGGACTTGCAGGGAGGTGGAAGTGGGACTTGTAGGCAGTGGGATTCCAGCGGCTGATGGCCTGGATACAAGCTGGGGGCAGCCTGATTGCCATCGCTGAGGTTGCAGCGCTGATCTGAAACGCATGCACCCCAAAGCCCCCAGGGGGAAAGCTGAGGGCTGTCATGCCAGCCTACATGACTCCAGCAAATTGGAATCTAGTGAGGCAGGGATCATCCGTGTGGCGGAGCAGGGTGATGAGGCCAGAAGGCCGTATGGCCAGGTATTCTGTGGTGGCATGGACAGGGCAAGGCTGGCCAGCTGAGGTTGTCCAGAGGCACCCATGGGACCAAGGTCCCCTCTGGACTATTTTAGATCTTCTCAGGGTCATCCAGACTATGGCCCACTGCATGCATGACTGGGCCATCACAGATCTTACACCATAGATGGAAACTTTATATTGTGCTTGGTCTTCAAGCACAATGCTCTCAGGGGAGTCCGTTCACACATGCAGCTGCAAGTCTCGAGTGTACACTAACACAGTGAAGGGAAATCAAATGAATATTTGTGTAGCGGAGCGGTGGTGCAAGCAGTAAATGCCTGCAATACTCCATCTGACCGAACAGGTTCAGCTGTTTGAGTCCCACCGCGGCCGGGGTGAGCTCTCGGCCCTTGTCCCAGCTCCCGCCCACCCAGCGGTTTGAAAGCCTTAAGCAATTAGATAAATTGGGTACCTACTCATTAGGAGTGGGGGGGGACCCTTCTCCCCCTTGGCTGAAGTTCCACAATGACGGCGACTGCGGCAGGCTGGCAAGCGGGCTGAAAGGAAAAAGATGGCAGCGGCGAGGCAGCAAAGCAGGAGCGATCGGCCCCGGAGGACGGCGCGGCGGTGACATGAGGTGAAAGGCTGGCTGACTGGAGGGAGCTGAGACGCGGCAAGACCGTACGTTGCCGAAAAAACCAGCAGGGGTCGCTGCTGAAAAAAGAACGGAAGACCTGCACCCGCGTCTAGCAAAAGACCTGAACGACCTGCGTCAGTAAAACATCGCCAGCACCAAGCAAGAACCGCCGTGGAAAAAGCTAAGAAGAAAAAGAAGAAGAAGAAGACCCTGCCGAAAAATAGGGGGGTGCCTGGATAAGGAATTCACCTCCCCTGTCTATGTGCCCCTAGGTTAGAAAAATTGTACAAACTATGTAAACCGCCCCAAGTCTACGGAAAAGGGGCGGTATAGAAATCTAATGTGTATGTATGTATGGGTATGTACATTATGACCCAAGTATTTTGAAAAGCTGAGAGATTCTCAATCTATGCTTACACAAAACAGTTTTCAATCTGAAATGATCAGCTTTATGAAACAATTTCCTCTCCCCCCCCCCACGTCACCCATGGGCTGTTTCCTAAAATTTTGTTTTGTCCCTTGCAGATAAAGCTCTGCTGCTTCAAACACTTGCCAGGAGAGTGTGTTTAATCAGTGGGTAAGCTCTGCAGGATATCACAGACCGCCGGTCAGGTAATGGAACAACTTCACTACACTGAGATACCCATGGGAAATGAAAGCACGTGGTTAGGTATTTTCCCTGCAATGAGAAAAGCAATTGCTCAGATAACCACAGAAGGCACAGCACAGTGTCATTTACACCTATCCAAAGTGAATCAGAGGGCTGCCTTTTATCTTACTTTCAAAGTATGTGGGCCAGCACAATCTCAGGAGTCCCTCAGGCATATTTGGCCTGAATGGCTGCTTCTCATACTCCTATTTAGGTGCTTGAGCACACTTTCAACAATACACCTCTGTGAAAATTTGTATCATGAGAATTATTTCTGAGAGTGTACTTTTAAAACTATATTTTGGTGTTTCATGTAAGCTGCATTGGGCCCCTTAGATGAGAAAGGTAGGATTTTTTAAAAAGCCTTTGTGGGAGAACATGCCTGCTCTGGCCTACAGGTCCTGTTCCACCCTGCTCTCCTAGGGGTTTCCAGCTCCCTGGAGATGTTTTACTTCCACTTTCTAGGGTAGGCTGCCACCACCACCTGATCAATTTAGGGATTTCCCACTGGGAGGATCAGGACCCCCAGCTCCCCTTTGCAGCTCTGAAGCCTTGCCTCTGTGTCTCCTGCTGCCCAGTGCCTGGCAACTGCAGGGACAGTATACTGCCTTGGGCACCCCTGGAGCCCCTTTTGAAATAGCGTGTCCGAAACAGTGGAGGTCTATGCGGTACAGAGAATAGCTCCCAACATCAAGAACTTAAAATATTCACTAAAAAGAAATGTTTACAAGCATACTTTTAGTATAGCACCAGACTGAGCAAGGGAAACAAAAGAAATTTGGTTAAAAAACACAAATCCTCTGTCCCTTTCTGTAAATGTACCCTAACTGATGTTAAAATAGGACAGGCCTCTTGTAGCTTAGCTAGTTACCAATCCTTATAAAGGATCCAATACCTTGAGCATCTCCCCTAGCTATGGAGGCAAGCACATGGTCAATGGCCACCTGCTCAGAGGAGAGATCTGCCTGCTCCTCACCTGGATGCAGCCCCCAAAGGAAAGAGAGCTGTTTCCTGTTGCAAGGAGATTTTATCCTCTCTGGTCCTCCTCCCCCTAGACCCTGGGTCAGCCCAGGTCAAAGCATCTTTTCCTGCTGTCTTCAAAAAGTTCCTTCCTCAGACTCTGTAGAATTTGACACCCCCAACTCTATGTTCCCTGCGAACAGAAAGGGGTGTGTGTGAACTGGGCCATCCCATTGTATCTCCTGCTAGATCTATTAGCATTTCTTAAGAGATGTGTCTGGGCTAATTTCCTCCCCCCTCCTGCTTGTTCTTAGCTCAAAGAAAAAAAAATGGTTAAAATGCACAGTGGAGGCCTTGCTCATTGACAACCTCTCAGGAGACAATGCATTTCTCCACAGCCTATATAATGAAAATAAATAAATAAAGGTAACATAAAATACAAGATGTCATAATCTTTGTAATTTATTTATTTTATTTATTTTGAGATGTTTATTCCACCCTATCCAAAGCAGGCTCAGGGCAGATCACAAAAAAAGTTCAAGACTCGTTACAATAAAATCACATAAAAACCAACAAAACAAAAAACAATAAAATTGCATAGGTAGCAGCAATTTCATATAAATCTGTTAGGGTCACAAGGTGGAATCAAATGGGCCCTTTCAGTGGGTTGGAAACTAATCTATTGCCCAGTCTGTTCCTGAGATTTTAACCCATGGAACTGACAAAAGCCACCAGATCTAAAACTAGATCCTTCAGGATCAAAAGTACTGGTACATTTTCTGCCAGATATTTTCATTTTTGTAATTTATCTTTGACTCTGAAACTTCTAATAATTATTTTTTTGAGCCGCTGGCCACAGAGGAAGACCTGAATTGCACTTGTCGCTTTCTCATCATCAGAAGGTCAGCGGTGTCACTGGAGTTTGAACCCAGTGTACCATTTAGAGCTACAGCCTTGGAATTTGATATAGCTACTTTAGACAGCTCAATACGTGAAATAAATAACCAAGCAATCTATTGTGGCATAACCCGACAGCATTCAAGTATGATATTTTTCCTGTTGAAATGCAGTGTTGTAAGCTCGGGTTTGGCAAAATTAAGGTCACTTAAGATCAGTTGCTCCTCCATTCACTAAAATTCATCCAAGAAATAATAAATAAATAAATGTAAGTTTTAACCTACTTATTCCCAAAGGTTATAAGTAAAGACACCATGCACTTTATGTTTTTTGTTGTTCAGTCGCACAGTCGAGTCCGACTCTTTGCGACCCCATGGACCAGATCCCACCAGGCCCTCCTGTCTTCCGCAGTCCTCTGAAGATTGCTCAATTTCATGTTCGTTGCATCTATGACACTGTCTAACCATCTCATCCTTTGCCGTCCCCATCTTCTTTGACCTTCAATCTTTCTCAGCATCAGGGTCTTCTCCAGTGAGTGCTCCCTTCTCATTTGGTGGCCAAAGTATTGGAGCTTCAGCTTCATTATCTGGCCTTCCAGGGAACAGTCAGGGTTGATTTCTTTTAGGATTGACTGATTTGTTCTTCTTGCAGTCCAAGGGACTCTCAAGAGTTTTCTCCAGCACCATAGTGCAAAAGAATCTATTCTTCGGCGCTTGGCCTTCCTTATAGTCCAACTCTCGCAGCCATACATGACTAATGGGAATACCATTGCTTTGACCATGCGGACTTTTGTTGGCAGGGTGATGTCTCTACTTTTTATCATGCTGTTTAGGTTCGCCATCGCTTTCCTCCCAAGGAGCAGGCGTCTTAATTTCATGGCTGCTGTCACAGTCTGCGGTGATCTGGGATCCCAGGAACGTGAAGTCTGTCACTTATGTAGGCGCTGATTAAATGAATGGGAACTGAAGGCTGAAGTCAGCTCTTTCCTAACTTGCTTTTAAAGGCCTTACTGCACTGAAAGAATGGTGGCTTACATTTGATGCTTCCACCCATGGACTCTACAAAACAAAACCCAAGGACTATTATTGATTTAGTGGCCCTAATTTTGAGATCAACAACTAGACCTTTGTGATTTTGATTTCAGAGTATCAGTCCTGATTGATGATGGTTTAATGGGATATCCCCTCAGCCATTACTAATTCTTTTTCTTTAAAATGCCCCTTATATAAAATATATCATGACTCAAATCAAAACAATCTGCAGAATGGAACAATCAATAAACAATGCAATACAATTTGGATTCCAGAAACCTGAAACAGAGCTGAAACAAAGCATAAGCATTAACATGACATATTAAAATGCAGAAATTACCTAGTAGGATCATACTTACATTTCTTTATTTTTTCCTAGATAAATGTTAATGAGTGGAGGAGCAATGTACTGCTAGTACTGCTAGTATGTGCTATACAGTAATATAGTCTGCAGTCCCTATCCTTTTATCAAAGCATCTTTCTGAACGAAAAAAGCCCTCCAGAATAATTCAGTTTTGCATAGATTGCAGAATGCCAGGACAGGAGGAGCCTTCCTGAACTCATGAGACAGGCCGTTCCATATGGTGATGGCTACAACAGAGAGTGCATGTGTATGAGTAGTTGTTGATTTTGTTCATATATATGAATAATAATATGTAAACATATCTTGCTAAGTTATTTAATATTCTACTTTCTTGCCTTTAAATCTGTATAAAATTATGTTATTTATTATTTGCGTCTCTCACTGGGAATCAAGGTGGATTAAGTCAGTACAGTTAACAGGATGGGATATCCAATAAACAGTGCAATAGGATTTGGACTGCAGAAATCTGGAACCAACCAGAAATCTAAAATAGAACTGGAACAATGGATATGTATTAGCACGATGTGTTAAATGATACAGAATCTATGTACTAGGATCCTACTTACAGCAATAGACAGTGTGAACTATGCACAACAGAATAGTCTATGGTCCCTAACCCTTTCATCATGTGGTATATAAAATATATCAGAAAGTAAATTACAGTTGTATTGCTAGTGCAATGATAATGCTGTTTATTAAAAATAGGTTAACTAGATATTTCTACATATTATTATGGTTAGTCAGTAATAATATTAATCAAGACCGATTACTAATATTACAGTCTAATGATACTGAGGATCGGTACAACAGTCAGAAGTTTCAAAGCTGTTCACATATAGTATCTGAATGCTTACAACAAAGAAGTTCTGAATTGTTATCCTCATATAACAGCACAACAACAAAATAGCAGTCAGATCTCCAAACCTCCAGCAGTAATATCAACAGTACCATGTGGTATATATAACCGGTATATAATAAAAGAGGTAAACCTTAGTAAACACTAGAAAACATGTGCTTTTGCATTCTTTATTCGGGAGTTCATTCAACAGCTTGCAGACTTATGCAGACAAAACTTTGCTCTTCCTGTCACAGTTGAATAACATCCCTGCTTTTCATACCCTGTGAAACTGCCCTCCCCTTTTCTGGAAGTCGGAATGGGAAAGCTTTCAGTGCAGCTCTTTCTATAACCAAGTAGTACTCTATCACATTTATTTCCTTCTGCAGTGTGGTAAACAAATAGAAAATTGCCTTTATTTTATTTTTAAGCCACAGCCTGAGCTTGTTTATCGCTAGTGAATAATTGTGATGTAATTAACAAATAAAAGCATTTTTATCTATTTCTTTATTCATTTAGTTTAAAAATGTATAACCCATCTTTCAGAAAAACTCCCAAAGCATAGTAAAAGTAAAAAAAAAACACCCCAATTTATAACAGACACAATTCAGGAGCACCAACAGCCATAAAGCAAGGAAAATATCAGGACATAACATCAACAGATCAAACTATTGATAAAGCATCAGAAAAGCCACTTGCAAGATATGCTAAGATCAAACAAACTATTACATTCAGCTTTTAAAAACTCTGATGGTCAGATAAAAGCCAAACCCAGCAGGGATTTAACATGCTCAGCATTACCCGAGTCCAACCCTTGCCTAGAAAGGTTAATTTTCTCTTTGCTAAACTTCTTACACTTAGAGGGGATGCTGAACACATGCCTTTGGAGATGGAGTTCCACAGTCTTGGTGCCACTGCTAAGAGGGCCCTGTTATAAATAAGTGATCTTCTTCGTGGTCTCTGTGCTTCATACCAATGGGATCTAGTGCGCCTGCGCTGGATCTGCCGGTGCTGTAGCAAGCTCTTTAAAAAGGATTTTCGTGCCCAGTCCCTCTGGGCATGCACAGGAGCCCCAGTGCGCATGCCCAGAGGGGTGGGCGCGGACATCCCGCCAGTTCTTTCCTTACCGCCGCGCTGAGCAGACCCTTTCTTTGAGAGGTCTGGTCGAATCGCTGTTTTTTGTCGCTTTTTAGCGATTAGCTCTTATTTTTTCTCTCAGTTTTCTTTTTTCTTGTTGTATTTAAAAAAAGGAGAACTTTTGTTTTCGTCGTCTGAGGTAAAATTACCTCAGGCCTTCGGGCCATTGCCCCCCCCCCACGCTCTCCTTACCGCTAAGACTCTTCAACGCCTCTTAGTCTATGGAGAGAAAGACTAAAAAATCGAAGAAGTGGGGATTTTTTAATCACTGCTGCAGCTGCGGTAGTAAATTGGCTCCTCCGGACGGTCATAAGTACTGTATCTTCTGCCTGGGTGAAACCCACAATCCAGACTCCTGTGAACATTGTGCTCAGTTTTTGAATCAAACCAGGAAAAATAGAGCAGCGCACTTAAAGGTTTTCCTCATGGAAAAAGCTCTCCAACCTGTGGCGAATCCGCCGGTAGCTTCGTCTACGGCTATGTCCTCCGCTACCGACACATCGGCCCCGAAACAATCGACGTCGAGGGCCAAATCCATTTCCGATACCGAGAGATCGAAATCGAAATCTAAGGTACCAAACGTTCCTTCCACAGCATCAACCCCTGCTAAGAAGGCCAAGAAGGCCAAGCCTGTGGTGGCGACGCACACAGTGGTCAAGGCTGTGAAGCCTGCTAAGAAGGACTCTGTGCCAGCAGCTCCAGCCCTTCCGCCACCGTCGACTACTTCGATACCGACTGGTTCGACACCGACTGACTCGATACCGGTGAACCAGGTCGTGTCTTAGGCTACGGTACTTGTGCTAGATTCTCCAGACCATCAGGTGGAGACAGCCTTGTCTGATATCGACCAAATGGATCTCGTAAGTCACCAGTTGGGTGCGGAGTTTTCCCCTGGTCCAACGAGCTCGTTGGCTTTGATCGTCTCAGAGCCGCCCGACACCGACGGCCGTCGGCATCGACGCTCAAGATCCAGTGCGGAGCGTCCGCCTCCCTGTTTATTGCCTGAGTCTGTCGATATCGACGCCTTTGATTGTAGAAGAGGCACGTATGCCCTTCCTTCAAATTTCTCCCCACGACGTCCAAGGTCGAGGAGCCGTTCCCCGAGGTCGTATATGCCACCTCCGATGTCTTGGGATGAAAGGCAGTTCCGTTACCTGTACGGTCCTTACCATCCTCCGGTGTCTTGGCTCAGTCATTCGGGATACACTGATTGGGACAGATACTCCTGTCGATCTTCCCACAGGTCTCGTTCTCCGAGGCGATCTAGACCATCGGCTACGGTCTCTTGTCCTCCCCAACCGGACAATGTTCCACCGTCGGGAACATCTACCGTCCAACCTCTCCCTACTCCTAGAACACATCTGGAGCGCACACCGGCTGCACCAATCCAGCCGCCTGCACCAACCCCTCATCAACCTGCCCCGGCAGATGAAACTGACTCTTCGGAGCCCTCTGAGTCTGATTCCGATACCGAGCCTTTCGAGGCCCCAACGTCACCGGATAACTCGTCTCCCAATACCGACGTGTTTCAAAATCTCCCAATATCCCCGTCGGATAACTTGTCTACATATACCGACCTCATAAAACGAATGGCCCATGCGTTGGGACTGTCAATTGTCCAGAAGGATCCTCAATCTACGGATTCTTTATATGATATCGTCCAACTGGACACGTCCTCAGTCGTCGAACTCCCCATGTCATCCGTCTTGCTACAAGCCGCAAAAACCCCTTGGCAAAAACCGTCGTCCGCCCCTGTCTCTACTAAGAAATTAGACCATATGTATCGCATACAGCAACCTGAGGCAGAGTTTCTACTTTCCGACCTACAACCAAACTCATTAGTCGTCACCTCGTCATCCAAGTCAAAAAAGTCATATTCAGCTCCTGCTGACAGGGAAAGTAAAAAGTTGGATGCTTTTGGCCGCCGCTTCTATTCAACAGGAGCGTTGGCTGTGAAGGCGTCAAACTATCTCACATGTATGAATAGGTACCAGTATACCCTGTGGGAACAGATGTCCGATATCCTGGTGCATCTGCCTGAAGACAAGTTGTATGCTGCCAAACTGCTCCAGAAAGAAGGCATGGTGGTCGCTAAACAGCAGTTAACCACGACCAAACACGTTTTGGAAGCCTCCTCAAAGACCATGGCTTCGGCGGTGGCACTTAGACGACATTCATGGCCGAGAACCACTTCTCTCCCTTTCGACACTCGCTCATTAGTCGAGGATATGCCTTTTGATGGTCTGGGCCTTTTTCATGCAACTATGGATTCCTCGTTGCAGGATCTAGAGAAGAGTATTAAGGCCTCCCGGTCTCTAAGGATCTCTTCCACGACCCGGCACTCAACTAAAGCGCGGACTTGGTCCCGTCCTTGGCAAAGAGGTCCAACATCCTGTCAGTCTCCGGACACCAGATGGAGGCCTAGATCATATTCCGGTAGCCAGAAGTCCTCCTTCCAGAGAACAAAGGCTGGTCCTACCCAACAAACGTCTCGTTCCAAGCAGGCCAAGTCATCCAAGCAGAGCTTTTGACTTCCCTGTCCCCGAGTCAGCGCAAACCCGTCTGTTTCCCTTCATCCGTTCCTGGCGCCACGTCGCTTCAGACGAGTGGGTTCTCTCCATCATAACCCACGGCTACAGGATCCAATTCGACCACTCACCTCTGACACCCACAGTCGTCCTCACCCCACCTCTCCTCAAAGAGGTGTCCCTCCTTCTGCAAAAGGGAGCTATCGAACCAGTTCCGTCTCAGTTCCAG